TCTCAAATTTTTCGAAAAATCGAAAAACCATGTAAATTGTCTAAATAGCCCACAAAAACAAATTTTCGAAAGATTCGTAAGAATTTTGGAAGTGCAGATTTTTTAAAAAAAATGTGTTTTGTGCATTTTTTGGACATTTTCCTCAATTTTTTGATTTTTCGAAAATTTGCTTCAAAATTCTCCCCACCCGATACCTGCCAGACACATTTTCTGGCGTGGCCTGTCTCTGACGTACCATCTCACTGACGGACAGGGACTCTGCTGTGCAATCTCTAGAAAATTTTCAAAATTCGCCTCACCCGAACCTCACTAGACCAGCATCCTGCTAGAACTCGTCTCTATCACAGCAGGTCTCTGCATGACTCGTTGACAGCCTCACCAGCTCTCTGCCTTACTCAGTCTCTTCCGCACAAGGTCCCTTCCGGACGCGTTCTCTGCCTCACACTGTATCTGCTGGACAACATCTATGCCTGAACCGTTCTCCGCTGAAAGCGTTCCTTGCAACGACGGCGCGTAAGAAACGGTCAAAGAGAGACCGTATGGTCTACAGACTACACAGCAGAGTCTCTGTCCGTCAGTGAGATGGTAAATCAGAGACAGACCACGCCAGAAAACGTGTCTGGCAGGTAACGGGAGGGGAAAATTTTGGTGCAAATTACCAAATTTTTCAAAAAATATAAAAATGCTGGAAATCTTCCAAATTGCGCACAAAACTAAAGAAATTTGAAAAATTTCACAAATCGTTTTTCAAAATTTTTGATTTTGTGCGCGTTTTATACATCTTCCAACATTTTTTGTTTTATCGAAAAATTTCAAAATTAGCCTCACCCGAACCTCACTAGACCAGCTTCTTACTAGAACTAATCTCTACCACAGCAGGTCTCTGCATGACTCGTTGACAACCTCACCAGCTATCTGCCTTACTCAGTCTCTTCCTCACAAGGTCACATCCGGACGCGTTCTCTGCCTCACACTGTATCTGCTGGACAACGTCTATGCCTGAACCGGTCTCCGCCGAAAGCGTTCCTTGCAACGACGGCGCGTAAGAAACGGTCAAAGAGAGACCGGATAGTCTACAGACTGCACACAGCAGAGAACCGGTACGTCAGAGACAGGCCACGCCAGAAAACGTGTCTGGCAAATATCGGGTGGGGAAAATTTTGGTGCAGACTTCCAAATTATTTAAAATTTTCAAAAAATAGTAAAAATGCTCGAAATCTTCCAAACTGCGCACAAAACTAACAATTTAAAAAATTTCACAATTTTTTTGAAATTTTTCCGAAAATTCGCGACTTCTCACAAGTCACATGCCCCAAGTCGTGAGAAGGCACATGTTCCAAGTCTAGAGAAGTAAAAGGTCCCAAGTGAGAAGGTGCATGTCCCAAGTCGTGAGAAGTCGTAAGTCCCAAGTCGTGAGAAGTCACTTG